CCCGCATTACATCTGCATCACTAACTAGGGCCTGTTTTGCTCTGCTTATGCTCTCCATACACGCCAGAAAACACAAAGGAGATGGAGAACCTTAGGCAGCATCTTGAAAGAAAAAAACAGTCCAAGATCCAAAGAGACAAGAACAGGAAAAGCAGAGTGTTCTTGCAGAAAAACTGAGCTATTTCTTTAAAAAACACCAAAATTGTGATAAATGCAATCTCCAGGGAGGCTTGCCTGGTACAAGATTTGCCATATATCAGGTGAAAACCTTTCCATTTGCCCAGGTCTTCCAGAGTGTTGCCACTGGTGGCTTTAATTGGTTTTATATTGGTTCTTCTCTAGATTCCTGCTGCTTTTCAGTATTACTCTGTTTGCCATTGGTTTTATTATAGTGTAACCTGTCCTGGGTGTTTTAAATTGATAGGTTGCTTTGAAATAAATAATAAAATAAAGAAGCAAGAGGCACCTAAGTTCTTTATTTTCAGTATCACATTCTCCCCACTAAAGAATGATTTGGCCTGCAAGGCTAGATAGATGAAGCAATTGTCAAATCCACATGTGAAAGAGGTTAGGTAACAACCTCAGGAAAGGAATATCCTTTCTTACTGTTGGAAAAGCACACATTTACCAACCACGGCATACTTCTATTATATCTAAGAACCTGTTAAATGCATCCTGCTGCCAAATTGACTCTTGGTGATTTCCTAGTAAATAGCACTGCACTGCAGGCTTTCATTGATTTTCTAGTATACAGAGCTGAACCAAACTCTGGAATGCCTTGTTCATTTTTACAAATGAGTTAAATTGAAGATGCTGATATAGCTAATTAAAATCAGCATTCTCTTGGGCTGAAAGGGATATAACCGGATGAACTGGTAATTTTCCTATATATTTTCTGCTCCCATTTGAAACGTTTTTATCTTTGTTCTCACTTCAGCCAGTGACAACCAAAACCGTGAAAAATCATATGCTGCTTCCTTCTTCTTCACTAGAACAAGCGGCATCTGAAGCCATGTCATTACTTCTGTTACTCAAAATAGTAAAGAAATTGCATCATTATACCCCCAAAAGATAAATGTGGGTACTACAGTGTGGGAAGTCCAGTTATCCAGAACTTTACCCAGTGTCTAACTCCAATATAGGGGCACTGAGATCTCTCTCTAGATATACTCCCATCTTATTCTATGCTAGCTTTAGATCTAGGCTGCCAAGGGCAGGGGGATGGGGAGGAAAGATATACTTGCTTTTTCATTAACCAGATGAAGAGCCTGCCTTGTCTTCCTCCAAGGAGCAACAAGAATTTGGCAACTGAAGACCTTCCCATGTCCTAAGCACTTATCATTCAACTCTGACATCCTAACAACTGCACCTAACACAGATTCCACTCGTTGATTAGGGTTATATATCTGGAGATAGCCTTCCACTATAATTTGTGCTCTCTGCTTGCTGTTAGGGTGATGCATTAGAAGGCTTAATTATCAAGGTTTTAATAAGAGCACCCATTTTGTTTCTTCCTGCTGTATCCTGCTGATTTTTTTAAACCTCTGTTTATATACCATGACTGGACATGTCTAAACCTTTTAAGGCACTTTTATGAAAAGAAAATACCTTGCAGTTAGACATTTAAAAAAACAGCTGCAGACCATGAGATACAGTGGGGGAAATTGGCACACAGTGCAGTAGCGCAAGACATCTAAGCAGTTTCACAAACCTTAATGTTCTGGCACTTCACCTCAAGTGCCCTGTTGGACTGCTTGTTAAGGTGCAGGGAACTCACCTACCCCAAACCTCAAACTGTAGAGGGCAAGGGGATTTTTATCTCCACCTCTTTATTCTGCTTGGGAGCGGGCGACACTGGGCTGAGGGACATGCTCTCAGACTGCACATCCTTAACCCTATAGACGCACACCTTTCCAGGACAAATTAAGATGTCAAGTGCTCTTTGCAGCTGAAAGAGCCCCAAGGGAAGGGGCTCAATCAGAATTTGACAAAGTGCTTTTCCTTCAAACTTACTAACTGCTTCTTAGAAATCTTTCAGTTTCATAGAAACATAGAAACAGAGCGAGTCAGAAGGGGTCTCCCGGGTCATCTAGTTTGACTCCCAGCTCCAGTCAGCTCCGCTCATGACATGCCCATCATGTGCATGTCCAGCCTATCTTTGAACACCCTCACTGATGGGGCCTCAACGACCTCTTGTGGAAGCCCATTCCACACCCTCGGGGTCCTAACTGTCAGGAAGTGTTTCCTGGCATCTAAATGGAATCTTGGTTCCCAGAGCTTTGCTCCATTGGAGAGCATCCTGCCTTCCTCTGCAGGGGAGAACAGGTCTCTACCCATCTCCGTGTGACATCCCCTCACATACCTGTATGTCACCAACATATCCCCTCTGAGTCTCCTCTTCTCCAGGCTGAAGAGACCCAGTTCCCTCAGTCTCACCTCATACCCCACCCCCTGCAAACCAGCCACCAACCTTGTGGCCCTACACTGCACTGACTAACCTGGCTATATCCTTACTCTAATGAGGAGCCCAAAACTGAGCACAATACTCCAGTTGTGGGCGCACCAGAGTCATATAGAGTGGTAGTAATACCTCTCTTGATCTAGAAGCCACACTTCTGCAACCAAGGGTGGCGTTCGCCCTCTTGACCACTGCATCACACTGCTGACTCATGTTTAGCCTGCAGTCAACCAGTACACCGAGGTCCCTTTCACAAGTACTGCTCTCCAGCCACTTGTCACCTAACCTGTACACCTATTCCTATGCCCCAAGTGCGAGACCTTGCACTTATCCACACTGAACGCCAACCTGTTGTCTCCTGCCCACTTCCATAGTCTGTCCAGATCCTTTTGGATCTGGAGTACCTGCTCCTCAGCTGTGGCCACTGCTCCAGTTTTAGTATCGTCTGCAAATTTGATCAGCAGACTGTTCACCCCTTCTTTCATGTCATTTATGAAAAGATTAAACAGGATCGGCCCCTGGACAGAGCCCTGGGGGACCCTGCTTGTCACTGGCTGCCATCCCGATGATTCCCCACTAATAGTTACCCTCTGCTTTCGGTCAGTCAACCATGCCCTAATCCACCGGACAGTACTTTGGTGTATCCCAAAACTCCTCAGTTTCTCAAACAGGATATCATGGGACACTTTGTCAAAGGCCTTGCTGAAATCCAGGTAAACCACATCCACTGCATCCCCTCCATCTAGCCATCTCAAAACCTTGTCATAGAATTCCACAAGGTTTGTCTGGCAGGACCTGTTTTTGCGGAAGCCGCGTTGTGTGGCTGCCAGCCTCCCTTCCCTATCTAGCGTCACCAAATCTCTCTCTATTATGAGCCTTTCCATGGTTTTTCCTACAATGGAGATAAGGCTAACTGGTCTGTAATTCCCCATGGGTCTTCTACTACCGTTTTTGAAAATTGGGACCACTGATGCCACCCTCCAGCCCTCTGGAACTTCACCCATTCTCCATGAGGTCTCAAAAATGGAGGCCAGTGGGCATGAGAGAACCCGTGCCAACTCTCTAAGCACTCTCGGGTGTAACCTGTCAGGGCCTGGCGCCTTTGTAATGTCCAATGCCCTGAGGAGCCCCTTGACTTCTAGGGGGGTGACTCTAATCTGTGCCCCTAAGTCCCCGGCCTCATCTAAGCTCCTATGCAGATCTCTCCCATCCAGCTTTGGGGAGAACACAGAAGCAAAATAGTCATTTAGCATCTGTGCCTGTTCCCTCATATCAGTTTCAAATATTTATAAACATGAATCAACACACCCTGAAACATTCATGGGTGGGGCAGGGATGCATACCCCACAATACCTCTTAATCACCCACTCTAGGTTATTGTAAACAATAAAAGGGACTGAAGAAGATAAACCCATATTTTTCTTCAACTAACAGTTTTCAGTATTACATGGCATTGGAGGTCAAAATGTTTGCTCAGTCCTCATTGATTGATTCATGGAAGGTTGTTTTGCTTTATTTTGCTTTAATTTACAACCTTTTTCAGACCTAGGGATTCCCTTTATATAGAAAATCCTACCTGAGCCTAGAGGAAGGCTCATTCTGTACCAAGTTCAGTATTAAGAAATTGTTACAATGTTTTCCTGTATATACTATGACTTAAACCTGTACCTGTGTGCATACTTAATTACACAGAAAGTTTGGCAGAATAATTGCTACGTATTAACATGTACCCATTAACATGTAGCCCCAACAAATGCTCCTGCCTTCCTTGTCCCACTACAGCCCACCCCCATGCCCCATCACACGCCATTCCAGGAAGTTTCTTGACTCTCAGGAGCAAATAGTGAGGGGGTGCAGGAAGGGCATCTCCTTCTTCAAACAAGTCCCTGTCTTCTATCTAGGGATGTGTGAGGAATCTACCCATCCCAATGTCTGAGTTCCTGATGAGTGCACCCAGCACTCATGGGGCGCTTGCCACTAATCAAGCTGCACTCCTCCCTGGAGCCAGGAACAGCCACTGCGTGGGAAGCTGCAACTGCCATGGAAGAAAGACTGACTCATGAGGGGCCTGCCGGGAAAGCAGCCTGCCCGCGACCGCTGTGCAAGCAGTGTCCCTCTTCCGCACTAGCCGCTGCAGCTATTGCAGAACAAAGCTGCTGGTTGGGCAACCAGGACTCCACAAACGTTTATAGATTTCTTCTTGGCATGGTTTGCTTTTGGAAGACTGGGCTGATCACAAGAGGAAGCCCGTGAATGCTCTATTCCAATGAGGTATGTCCCAGCCTTACATCTATCTGTGGATCTAGCCCTTTGAAGCTTTGTATTTTACCTTTCCATATAATTGGATTTCTAAAGTAGATGTGCAAATTTAATATAAAATATACCATTAAAATAATAAAATGCCGATATAGAGGGCACTTCCCCTAAGATATCAGAAGATATCAGTAAAGGACCAAATAATTATTGGTTAGAACTATGTATCTAGAATAGCAATAATGGCTTTACACTATTCAAAAAGTACAAGAATCAAATAGAAACATACCACTTTTATTTCCATTCTCTTCATCCTGCAGAGGAAAATCATAAAAATCCAAAGTCATTGCATAAAAACAAAAGACCTCTTCAAAGCATTCATGGCTAAGTTTTTGAAAACGATTTTTCTCAAAATGTTCTGGGTACTGCTTAGGAAGCAATGAAGTGGCCTGGTTTCTAGAGATAGCTGGTAATTTCAAGGTTTGAAAAAAATACAAATCTTCTTAATGAGTTCTCCACAAAGTTAGTTTACATTCTCAGTAATGACTTACAGATGAAATGAAGGAATCAGGAAAAAATATTATAAACATGATCTGCTACTGAAGTCCTCCTGGCTAAAGTTCACAGTTCAGAGGAGCAACGGAAGGAATATAGGAAGCTGCTGTATGCAGAGCGAGCTCCTTGGTCCAGTCAGCAGTGACTCTCCAGAGTTTCATACAGGAGCCTTTCCCAGCCCTAACTGGAGATACCTGAGATTGAACTGGGGGCCTTAATATGCAAAGTGTGTGCTGTAGCACGGAGTTAAGGTTCTTTCTCATCCATATTTACTATTAACTTTCCTTTCAATCACTTAATATACCACTTCCATATGTACTAGGAACTACACAAAGATCGACCTAATTTTTGTTATGTTTCAAAACATGACCATGTTCACATTTGAGTGGCTTGATATTAATGTTTACAAGTACTACTGAAACACTGTTCAGCAGCTGAACAATAAAACTAACAGAGTGATTCTTGCTTCAATAAAGTCTGAGATCTACAATCTGTACAATGAGGCAAACCATAACTGAGCCTGAGCAGTCTTACTTAATTAGTTGCTATTATTACTATTATAGTTCACAATGATGGGGGATTTAAAACTCTAGCTAGCAAAAGAATTAGACCCTTCACAGAATAGCAATCCAACAGGCCAAATCTATGCAAGATTACTCAGAACTAAGTCCCACTGTTTTTAATGAGGCTTGCCTCCAACTTAGGTTGCATAAAGCCAAAAGATGAGAAGAAAGGTTTGGGTAAATCCATTGCTAAGCTGGAATAGGTTGAACACTCGTACATCTCACATGCTTGCTATTACCAGTGGCTGCTTTCTAAAGTTTGATCCATTCTTCAATACACTCACCTTAAAGGAAAACTGAATAGCAGACTCTGGGGGGTAAACAATGAAATGCCTTAAGGTGAAGCCAAAGCCCTGTGTTGTTCTTCGTAAAACTACCGTTTTGGGACCAGGCCAAGAGAACGTTTCTTCATCCTCTGATGGAGATATAGCTTCACTTTGTTCCTTCGCATCTTTATTTTTGGACACCTAATGATAGAAAAAAAATGCCAGTTTAACTTCTTTAATTTCATGCTTTTCACAAAGTTGTTAAAAGCAGTTTCATTAGTGTGGACGAATCTGTATTTTTAAAAATTGCATTATTTCATTTATTTCAACTAATCAGTGCAACAATGTATCAACTGCTGCTTGAAATCTACAAAGCCACCTTATACCAAAAGGTCTGAAGAGCCTCTGTATCATACAGAACCTTGGCCTCTTCTTCAGTGAACCCAAACACAAACACTCTCACTTTCTTTGCGAACTCAGTGTTACATGATTGAAGATGACAAAGTCTAGACAGGACCACATCATGGACATGCCCAGCCTCAAAATGGGGTGGCTGACCCGTGCCAGGTAGGGGACAACATATATTTTTGGGTACTGCTGCTGCCTGAAGACATTGCTTGTGCTTTGGGGAAGCAGTGTCCATCACTCCACCAACTTGGACTTTCCTGGTCTTCAGGCAGCACCACCTAATTTTTGTGCACCCATCACTCCTGACAGAAAGACCAATGAATGAGGGGGGACTGCTGGTTTGGCAAGGTGATTTGAGAGCCTTCAGCATGCAGCTACAGCACAATTTCTAATCTTCCTCTTTACTTCAAACCCAGGTAGATGGCAAGAAATGCTATGCAATTGCATGAATAATCCCAGCTTCAAAGTTGGGGGAAGGCTGATGATTTGTCACACTTTCCAGAAGGCAATGTCACAATCACCATGGCAAGCACATATTTGAACCTAGCATTATTTTACTTATTGGCAAGTGGAGATATTCTTTATACTGCTGCAACTGTTACATTTTCTCCTAATATTTTGCTCTGAACTGTTTTTAGGAACTCAAGCACTGTGCATCACACTTCAGTACAAAAAGTTAAATACTCCTGATATTACTTTTGGAATTTGCTGTCAATTATGCAGCAGATTATATAACAATCAAATATATAGCATATGATATATATCATCAAATGATATAATACACACAAGACTAGCCTCCACCCTTTTGATTCGCTATGATCTGAAAGCAACTGTCATTTGGAGGGCAGCTGAGCTACCAGATTTTTCTTTTTTACCTCATAACCTCTCTGCCTTTCCTCTCCTGCCAACTCCCTTCCCTTCAGGAATCTGGCAACATTGCAATGAAAGGCCTATTCACTAAGCGGCTCACAAACAACACTGAAAGGATCCAATATACAAACAGAAAAGAAAACCCTAAATAAGAATGCTACTTTACATATTATTTAACGGAATAAACCAGAATTAACATAGCAAATAGCCATTTAGTCTGTCCAGCTACTGGATTTGTGGGTTTAATCCTGTGTTGCTGAAACCAAGCTGCATGCTTTGAGCTTTGAGTTCATTCCTAGAAAGTTACCTTTCCCTACAACTGCAGCAGATTAATACAGCTTCTTCTGAATTTGAAATATCAAATTGGCACAGTGAATAAGCCTGGTCTTCCATGAATTATCTAATCCTTAAAAAAAAGAATTTAAGTCAGTCTTCCCCAGCCTGGTGGTCTTCACATGTTTTGGACTAAGAATCCCAGGTTTATTTACTATGCTTGCCAAAAACTGAAGTACAAAAGATCTGAAGGCCTCCACATTGGGAAGGGCTGATCTAGATGAACAAACACTACATCATGAGCTCTGTAAGTTAATTATGCAATAAGTGAAGAATAGAGAGGGATGGCTCAGACAATTTCCAGCCATTGTCAATTTCACACATATTAACTCATTCCCTGCCATACTAGAAAATGCATTTAAATACAGAAAATGAAAAATTACATTAAAACTTAACACATTTGACATGAAATAGCACTTTTATGCAATTTTCCCATAAAATACGTATTTTACTGCATATTTCAGTTGGAAATACCACTGCAAAATCTGAAATGCATGAGCATTTCAACTCATACATTAATGCAGAAAGTGTGAATTAAGACTATTTGCTTGAAAATGCAGACAGAACAAAATTCTCTAACAACCCTAGCAAATAAGCACAGACATATCTCGTTTTAATGTGCTTCACTTTATTGTGCTTCACAGATACTGTGTTTTTTACAGATTGATGGTCTGTGACAACCCTATGTTGAGCAAGTCAATCAGCACCATTTTTGCAACAGCATTTGCTCACATCAAGTGTCTGTGTCACATCTTGGTAATTCCCACAATTTTTCAAACTTTTGCACTATCTTATTTGTTATAGTGATCTGTGATCAGTGATCTTTGATATTACTATAATAATTGTACTGGGGTGGCATGAACTACAGCCATATAAGATGATTGCAATCTCATTATTAAAAAAAAACAGATATGGGGTTGCTTCTTATGGATGAGCAAAAAAAGCGGTTTCTTGAGATGGAACCTCCTCCTGGTGAAAATGCTGTGAAGATTATTGAAATGACAACAAAGGGTTTAGAATACCACATAAATTTAGATGATAAAGCAGCAGCAGGGTTTGGGAGGACTGACTCCAATTTTGAAAGAAGCTCTACTCTGAGCAAAATGCTATGAAATAGCATTGCATGTGACCGAGAAATCTTTCTTGAAAGGAAGAGTCAATTGATGCAGTCAACTTCATTGCTGGCTTATTTTAAGAAATGGCCACAGCCACTCCACCCTTCAGCAACCACCACCCTGCTCAGTCAGCAGCCATCAACATCGAGGCAAGACCCTTCACCAGGAAAAAGACTGCTACTCTCTGAAGGCTCCGATGATGGTTAGCCATTTTTTAGCAATGAAGTATTTTTAATTAAGGTATAGACATTCTTTTTAGACATAATGATATTGCACACTTAATAGATTACACTATACGGTAAACATAACTTTTATATGCACTGCGAAACCAAACAAATTGTGTGACTAGCTTTATTGTGATATTTGCTTTATTGTGCTTGTCTGGAACTGAACCCACAATACGAGTATGCCTGCAATTTCTTTCATAATCAATGAAAGCCTGAAACATAGGGCACAGATTTTACAGACATCTATAGCTCAATTCTTATTCCTATTCCTTTAATTTTATTACAGTCATTGACAGAATGAACACAGTGACATCAACCAACCATTAAGCCAGTGTCACATCAGTCCTAAGAACAAATGCTATGAAAAGAGACACCTTCAAACAAGATACAGTTTTGAGTACCAACAGCGCTAGCTTATCCATGAATACTCAAGAGTAGGTATCACTGAATCCAATGGGACAGATCCAGAATTAGTCATGCTCCAGAGTAGACCCACTGAGATCAACAGGCTGCAGGCTGAGATGGCAATTGTTCCTAGCTATGTGCTTAATTTGCTCAGCTTCTGAATCACCTCTTGCTCCCTCAACAATTGCTTCATTGTTGGGGATGAGGGAAAGTACCTTTTCTACCCAAATTATGGAATTCTTTCCCCAGAGGGTTGTGGATAGCCACCCCTCCCCCCCATTGTGCACTTCAGTGGGACTGAGAAGTGTAATGTTTCACTGTTTGTTTTTAGTTTTTTCTTTGCTTTTTCTTCTTCTTTGTTCTCTGCATATATAGATATTGGTTTGTTATTCTTCCATCTTAGCTAGTATAAACTGCTTTGTTTATATTGCCTAGAAAGGCAAGATGTATATTTTAATACAAACTATTAATTTATCAGCTTATATAAATGAACAGATTTTGTTAGTTGTCTTTTTATACTTCATAGTTTTTGCTTTCATTTCCAATTTAAACTTAAAGAAGTTTTTGTTGAAGGGCAATAGAGAAATGGTGCAAGCAAGCAAAATATAGAGTAAATATTTATTTTGCTACAAATATAGTTATTGCTGGGAAGCTAATATGTGCATTTCCTTTGCAAAATGTGTGCTTCTTCCTTATAATGGAACATTCCATTTTTTTCTTATTCAAAGATTTCCTTATTTTAAAAAGTGCTGCATATGAAGCAAACCCTAGATTCTTTCTCAAACAGATTTGTGGTTCTAAGGATTAGGCTGAGATTGCAAAATGGAACTAGAAATTTTACCTTGGATTATTCATTCTGTTGCTTCCCCAGATAGCTAGAGACCAAAAACAATTTAAATCAGAAAAAAAAAGGGGGTTATAATGGTTTCCACATGGACTATTTCACTCAACTGGCATGAATGATCACATACACTCTACAATTTACCCAAGGTTATGTACGGAGAGGAACTGAATGTAAGAATTCTACTGACTGTGGACCCAATCCAACAATTGTTGAAATTACCTGGAACTGTACCAAGCCTAAAGGGGCATTCCCTTAAAATAGGAGACTGGGGCTTCAATATGCTGAGTACTATGCAAACACAGCAAAACTACCATGCTCAGGCATTCATGTACCTTAACTCTCATATTCTGAAAACAATCTTCCATTACTAAGATGTAATTACACAGCACACATCTTTCACACACTTGCCAGTGGGAAAGTCTCAGGCAACTATCACTCACTACATGTGTCTACAGGGACTGCAACATTTATATTATTTCCAACTGCATGCTAACTGCTTGTTTGCTTACTGCTATATCATACTAACACAGACCATCTCTGTGACACAAAACAGCAACCCTGCATTCAAACAGTATAATGATGGGAAAAGCAAGTTTCTGCATGCAACTGAAAAAGTATGAATTATTAGTGACTGGGAACAGTAATGAAATCTGCAGCATCAGCACTGGAACAAAGACCAAAGGAGATAAAAATAAAAATATAATACCTCAGACACACTACGCTGCCAGAGCCAGGCCAAAGCTGAAGAACTTTAGTTAGAGTCAAGTAGAAGTTTCCTCTCCCTTCAACTATGACTTTCTGTAATTGACTATTCAAGCACAATTCTGTCACAATGCTAACAATATGCCATTCATAAAGGTGTACAACCAAATGGAATTGCCAATTTGGGGTTCTGAGAAGGAAAAAGATCACACTTTATTTGCAACAGTATAGTACTCAAAGGAAAGTAGTGGAGGAGTTACTGAATTCTGTAGAGATCTGTATAGAATCACTGTTTTC